TTGCTGTTGCAGCACATGAACGCTGATGCATCGTAGAAGCACTTGATTTCTTTCCATAAAATGACAAGTACAATGTTGTGAAATCATACTTTAAATCAAGGAGATTCACGTTGATGAAAGCCATTGCATATTTCACTGCCATTTTCCGGAAATCGTCAACAAAATGGTCATCGATTGACAATGTCGTACCACGCACTTCGAATCCTTTTTGCCATTGTTGCGAAGCCTAACTGTGATGGGACTCACTAGTTCCTACATTCGACTGTCGGTCGCTTCAACTTGTCAACACGGTTTGAACAGCCTGCATGCACAATGGTCAACAACTCGATCAGGATATGCCGTGCTACACTATTTCCAATAGCTCCCACTAATTTACCGAACCACCTTGGCAACAGCGGACGATGGTGTTGTAATTAGAGCGACACCGACATGGATTCGGTGTCTATCATCACTGATGAAAATCTAATTAATTTATTTGCGGGGTCAACTGGAATTGCCCCAGCAAATTCATTATGAAATCACCTACGAGCAGCGGAGGCCTGCTATCAAATCAATATATTTATAATTTTGGTCGACTGTCTTTTGTGACAAAAAACATATCTTATCTCTGCAGCAGGTGGAAATGCCTTAGATATTGGCTTCCTTTACTACGACGGATTCACCTCAATCACCGAATCGTTCATGCCAATTAATAGTACTTAAGGCGGCAGGAGATTCTGCGACAAGACTTTCATATAGTTTTGAAGTTCCTCTTTTAGTAGCTAATCTTTCATTGAAGTGAACTGAATCATCCTTAACGGAATACCCGTCGCCGTTAAGTGTTGCAGCTTCAATCAAAATTAACGTCTTACAATGGGGAGCATAATCACTACTTTCTGACTGTCGTTCATGAACGGGAATCACAGTGCCGATCCTTCTTACATTCCAGATAGCTCATCCAAGGCCCCAATCAGCCGTATCTGAGAACTTCGATCGTCAACCATTCTGCGTTGGCACAAAAATAATAGAACCCATCAAAGTCGAGAATCAGTTGTTTGGAACTGAACATGTCCATGAGCGACATATTAAACGGCTAAGAAAACCGGTGGTTGATAATAATTGAAGTCGTCCTGATCTGCGACAGCAGCAGAAAAGTTGGCAGAATCCAATGATCTACCGAATCTGGTGGTGACGACAAGTACTCAGCAATCAAAAGACATTCTCGGCTCAACGATAGCATGCGTTACTTCTTTGTTTGTCATTTTGAATTACTTCTTGCCAAAAAAAATTGATGCTGTTCAATCAGAGCAGCTAGCAAATGCATTATCCGCATAATGATTGGCCAAATCCGTTTTATCAGTAATTGCATATTTATGAGGGACTGTTAGTTGTGTGAGATTATTTGCAACGAGGGTGGTGGTCAAATCTCAAGCAGCGTAGAAAGTAGGCTCAACTGGATAACCGATGTCAATCCTGAGAATACTACACATAAATTGTTAAGACAGTATTGATGTCACATTTATGCGCCAATGTATATCGCCACTCAGCAGGAATAAGTGTCCTAGTAACAGTAATAGCAGGGTCATCACTAGTGGCATCAGAATGGCTCTCCAAAACAATTTGGGCTTGAAGGCCATACTTCCACTCTTTAGGACTTCTTCCCGCAAGGTGGAAAGCAATTTGGCTTTATCGAACAACTGGCAAATCGAATCAAAGCCATTATTTTCTTTGTGTGAATCACCATCATGAGCAGGAGTATCAATGCCATTGATGATGTCATTAACCAAGTTCCCAAGTCTTACAGCTATCAAAATTATGACCGAAGCTGAGATAAAACCGATTGGAGCATGGATTAGTTTCTGTAATTCTTGCCACCGTACACCTACCATTTTGCTGGTATCTTGTTGTTGATAATGCATAATAATTAGCTTCGGTGCCAAACGGTATTGAACAAAAAAAGAAAAAGAACGTCACCAGACCTTTAATTGAGAGGTGGGCTGGATTACAGTAGGTCAAGGAAGCTGACTGGTGACAGCCACCGAAGGGCATTTGTAGACGTCCGTGAAAGTTACCACAAGCGTCGATTGTGAATTTCGAAGCTGATCAACGTGGTCCGGAAGTTTCAGGTGAAGTCCATGAGTTAGTGATTCTTGCAGAGAAGTTGACTCAAAGAAAGTAATGCCCATTAGATGCATTCTGCCAATCGTCGGTTACTGGTAAACTGCGCCTGGTGAGTCAAAGAAAGTGCTGAACAATGAGTGGTATCCCCGCGAAGTATTTCTCAACATGCAGCCGATTCACAATACAATTGGTGGTGACGCTGCAATGACTATCACGAAGTCATTGCCTTCCGCGAAGAGCGAGACTTACACGAATCTGTTCTATTGATTCCATTTCAAAATTGTGAAGGTGTACAATACCGATCGAGTTGCTGCGATCTTCTCTGCTGCGTCCGCGTGGGACACTCCCTTCGCTGACACTGTACTTTGTCAGTTTGCGGTACGCACAACATTATATTTATTAATGGAATGGTTTTGGCAGTAAATATGATGATAGGGAGTTTACTAGTAGTTCCGGCTCAACGGCGCCAGTCTCTGTTGGTACGCAACAGATCAAAAGCCAAAGTAAAATCGAATTAGAAGCTTTTGTTGCCAAAAGTTGCAACAATCGGCAAGTGATTGTCGAATTCCAAACGGTAATATTTTGCTTCTGGGGCTTCCCAACAGATTTGTGGTATCATTGATTGGTGCAGCGACTCAACTCCTCAATGAGGTCAGATTGCTGATGATGGTGGCAAATCAGTTTATGTAAATTGTATTGCATCTGAGATGCTTCTGAATGGTTGATCATTGGAAACTGTACGTCACTCTCTTCATGGCTCAAATTTGATTGACATCTCATCTGCTAGATCTAAGAATGCCCGGATCTGATTTGAAGATATTTCTGGAGTGTTAAAGGAGCATTCGCTGGCGAGAGTGCAGTTTCACGATTATTTCAATGTCCAGTTGGCGAACTGGTCAGCCGTTAATGACAACAAATTAGTCTAACCGATTCAGTCATGCGGCTAACTCAGTTTAACGCGATAGAACCATAATCTACTGGAGTTCTGTTGCTGGTACTTCATTTTGTGAGTCGTCTCACAAAAGAAATGGGCCAACAATTTTGATTCGTCGTCCATAAAATTGGCCACCGCTGCTCTTGGTAATCATTTTCCAGATATTGCTGGCTCAATGCCAGTTGTTGGTGCTGATAGAAGTCGTTATGTTCACTCAGTTGTTGATAACTACAACAAATAGCTGGATGTTGCAGCAATTGCCACTAAATCGTTTGCGGTTCCCACGTTGATATATTATATTAAATTGTATTGCCGATTATTGGATTTAGCAGCTGATGCTGTCTTACGCCGTAACGAGTTTGCATCGAATGCGGTGTGAGAACTTTCGTAATCAAATGAATTCAAGAAATTAATGTCAGGTCCTTATGAGTCGCATCAGTGTATAGTCGTTGAACATTGAAAAGAACGATCGGGTCAACTGCCAGCACAATGAAAGTTAGAGTTTATGTTGGTGATTGCTTGTGTATTCATGCTGTGATGCGTGAAGTGGCGTTGATGAGCTTCATTTCCATCAGACTTGGCACTCGGCTCTCTACAGCTTTATCAATATTACACGGACGATAATTAACTTCTGCCATGTGGAAGATGTTGGGATGCGCTGTTCAATCCAAGAAGTCCAAAAGAGTCAGGGGACACAAGTCAGGTGATGCCTGTCTTCCCTCTGTTTTTGTTGGCTACGAAACTAGTAGAAATAGATGCAGAGTGCGATTCTGTTTAACCGTGGTGTTGTTGGGAGTTGATCTTGTCGCTTTAAATAAACGCAGTCTCTGTTTAAAATCTTTTTTCTTGTCTAACTAGAGCAGCAATTCCATCGACCAATGAAGTTACACCTATTGATGCTGGTGATAGGAAGAGGATAACTGTACTGCCATTAATGAAAATAAAAACACAACTGCGTTTGTTTGAAACGTTATATCAATAATACTGCCAAAAAGTAAATTAATATCTTAGCATCAGCTAGGATGATCAAGTGCGTATTTGGGAAGAAAACATTAGTTAGAGTTCAAAAGAATCAGTTACTTTCACTGATGATAATGATCAAGTTGCTAATGATAAAACTGGTGCTGAATCCTGTAAAGTAGAGGATCCTGGAGCCAAAAGCAGTTTGTTGAGAAAATTTTGATAACTTTGAAACGGTGCTCAAATACTTTGCAAATGACTCGATAAATAACGTTGAAAACAGGTCTTCTCCAACAATATTTGACGACTGCTCTCATTGCAGTTTCTACTGCTAATCAAACGCCTGCAGACACAGTCTGCGAATATGGGTGTCAATCAAAGATTTTGGCAGTGCTTGACAACCGTTTTCATTTCTTGAGTGATACATTTCCTGCTGAATCACTGGTTTGGTGTCACTGATTGTGTACAAAAAGGGTGGCTTTAACTATTATTGAAGATAAAACCGGACTAGTCTCTCAATGCAATTTTCAGGTTGAAAGTATTGATCATTCTCAATCATTTGACCTGTAATTTCGTATGCTAGTGTTGCAGACTCTTTTGTTGTTGATGAAACACAATCATTCAAGAATTAATTAATGGATGTGACAACTGTTCTCTTCATAGTGATACCGACGGTGAAGTATACAAGAAAAAATCTTCTGCAGATATTATTGCTGAGTGGCTTCTGAAGGTTTGGAACTGTCACATATCATTCTATTGACTGAGAGATATTCCTTCGTGTTGACACAACAAGATGATTCATACTCGCCAATGGTTTGGGTGGCAAAGAAGTGCAGCAGATCATGGAGTGTTATTCCTTCGAAAAACAAACCCCACTGCATGCCTGGTGTATATGGAGAAGACTTCATTATTACCGGATCTCATTTGCACTGCTCAAGCAGGTTAAATCATATTTGTCTTCATTGTTCAAAGTGAAATATCTTGGAGTAATTATGAGTGGATGTCCTAGCCATATTGGCGCTGAAAGTAACGACGGAATTTGGCTCTCCATGGAGACCTACGACACTGAATCAGTTCAACATTCATTAATGGATGAGACTGATTTACAGGCTACAACGGTGATGATGACTTCTCACAAGACGCTAGAAATATATGTTTTTGAAGTAGTTGATGATGAATCATCACTTTGCAGATCAATTTTGGGATGGATGGTCTCCTCTGCGAATTGCTTAGGGATTGATACATTTTTTCCTGTTGGGTTACCATATCAATATCCTAGTTCAACATTCACATTTGATTTAAGCTGGCCTAAAAAGGGGTTGAGTTATTTGAACTCAAAGCTGTTTCATCAGTTCATTTACTAGCATACACAGACATCAATTGGGCTGGAGACTCTGGTGATTGAATGTCGATTGGTGGGTATGTGTTCCTCGTTTATCAAAAGCCGGTTACTTTCAACATTTAGCAAGTAACATCCAGTGCCCTTGCTGACTAGTGAAGCAAGATACATTTCACACACTCAAGTAGTCAAAAACGCTGTGGTCCCAATGCAGAATTTTGAATATATCGGTATCACTGTTGCTAATCCAAATATTAATTGTCATATCAATTCTGATATTAAGATGGCTAACCATCTCTCCAATTTTGCAACCACCAAGCATATTTGGATGAGTTTTGAGCTTATGAAAAGGTGGAGCAATGTTGCTCTTACTTTTCCAGGATTGAATAGTAAAAGTGAGGTTGCTGATCGCTTGACCAAATCATAAGGGCTGCGTTCGTCCAATATCTTAATAAATTCCATCAACGAATCAATTGTTGTTAGCTTTGGTTTTGGTTGTGGACGTTGCTGAATTTCTATCTGAATATTATCTTTGCTTGATTTGATATAGTTATGCTTCATTGTTGATATACTCTGGTTTGACTGGCGGTAGTATTGTTACTTCTTCATGCTTTATAAATGTATGTATTGGTGGGTTACGGTTTTAATACAAGACGCTTCTGTTGATTTTACGAAGTGCTTGCTATAAAAATGTATTTGTCGAATCATTGATTCGTCTATTCAATTTTCTTTGGTTTGTGATTGGATTTATGTAACACTCGATTATCATAGCGTGACCATTTGCTTAAGGAGATGGGCGTTTTCAAGCAAACAACTGAAGGGCCAGGCCGCCGAACGTGTTTGACGGCAGTACCAAAGAACGACTTCGTGGCTCATTGATTGAAAAATTGGAAAACCTTTTCGGTGCAACCGACAAGCCAGTATTTCAAAACTATTCATTTCTGCTCTCTCAATAGATTTTCGTTTGTATGGGGGTCGTTAAAATTGGATCCCTCTTCCCTGCCCCAGTGAGCAGAACCCGGCTCACCATGATTTCTACTCACACCTGTAACTGCTCGACCAATGAGAAGTGTCGTATGCAGGCTCTCGAAAATGCTTGGATACATCGACTGCATCGTTTGAGCTCTGGATACAGCGTTAAGGGGAGTTTTGTGAGAACTCCGGATATCCACATATTTGCCCACGGTGTCTGTCACCGTTCTGCTTTTTCGACGGTCCGTGATTTATCTGAGAACTCCGTTAAGGGCGCTGGTCATCTCATCAACGTCTTTTCTTTTTATATATTTCTTAATATTATTATCTCTTCTTGGATTCGCTAGAACGTATTCAGACAGGAGATACCCGGGTTAAAGTAGTGGAACAATCCAGAGAGCGTCAAACGTCCGTTGGTTTTCGCCGAGCGGATAGCCTGTGCGACAAGATCACATGGTTTTCACAGATTCCCTCACGGGCGCAGTGAAGAGCGATTGAATAGCAACATCACCCGTCTAACTCAAATCATCGTGGGGTGAGAAGATTGCCTATCATTGACATACAGTCAAATGCGTTGCACTAACTGGGACCCTTTAACCGTTGAAGGAACGAGTCATGACTTGCTCTATTGCGTTGTCCCTCAAGAACGTTACCCGGCAATTTCGTCACTTAGTTTGTTCAGGAACACTCATTTTTTTGAACTACTGATGATGCTCCGAAGTTTGACTATTGCATTATATCCAAAGCTAAAAGGAAGAAAAAGATACAAAAATCTAAAATTAAACAAATGAAGCGCAAATGACATTACATTTTAATTCGAACGAAAAAATGTTGTAAATTGAAAGAAAACGCTTAATTTAGTGAAATTGTGATCGTCGTAAAAATAGTAAACCACTTGTCAGTAAAAGCAACGTAAAACAAGACCGTAGTATAACCAACAGGAAATTAAGAATGTGATAATGATCCGCTGAAAAACGAACGGCGCATACGGCAAAAGACAAAGCGAACCACAAGACAAATTCAATGCAATTTGTAGAGAGACTTTGCACACTGGAGCGCTTAGCGCACTTGATAACATATCTGCAACGTTACAATTACTATCAACTTCTGCAATACTATATGGGTCGTTGCACGACTCGGTTATTAAGTGATACGAAATTGAGATACGCTTAGAGGCCTAACATTTGGTGAAATTGAAACGGAAGTTAACAGCAGGATTGTAATCACGGTGGATAATTGGGGTGAAAACTGTGAAACGAATATATTTAGACGGCGGCAATAGGAGCTTTGATACTTTGACTGCTTTACTGAGTGAAATCTATTCAGCTTCACAAGTCAGCTGGACCGCAGAAGGCTACCTCTTGGAGTTTCAAGAAACCGCATTCTGAATATTAAAGTACGTGAGACCTCCAACTGTCTTTCGATCTTCAGTCTCTGCGGCGCAATCAATCTGAGACTATCCAACCAACTCAACTGATGAAGCAGCTTGGTAATCATCAGTTAACCGGTTTGAGCGTAAATATCTTGACACCCCCTTAGCACAACAATAATCGATGTTGCATGGTGCACCAAGATACTCACTGAGTCTCTGGAAGGTAAAAAATATATTGCACCATAAACAATCTACTGAAAGAAGCAACCATCCAACGATTGGTTTTTTGATTGATGATTCGTCACCAGTTAATTGTAATCCACTTCTTTCGAAAATACTTCCTATGACTGACTCTTCCTCAACGCAGCCAGCGAATTGGACTTGGTTTTTCCAAACCGTAGAGTAACTATATTCTAATCTTTGTCCATAGAAACTGAAATATCGTCGTTACTCGAATCAACACCACCTCTAACTCAGCGACCCAGAATGACAACATGATCCATCACTTTGAGTAACAAAATGAAATAACATTTGATCAGTTTGACTATTAAATCAGATGATGCGGCAAACTAAATGTCATCCACATATGGTCGAAGCTTGTATTGCTGATGGTATTGGTGAAACAAAACACACCTTGATTAGCTAACAGTCTTTGGAACCCAAAACAGTGCAGAGCCTAATGAATTTTTTTGTGGCAATGAAACCCAAATTAGTAAAGTCCAAAGAATGATTTGTGCTACGTACAACCTTTCAGATGATACTGAGTAATATCAAAGCCAGATATATGTATGATGCAAATTTTAGCGTCGACATCACGATGAGAAAATGCTGTTTTCACATCAATTTCATGAACTATGAGTCGTTCTATTGCTGCAACAGCAAGAATGACTCGTTCCAATAGTACCGAATTGCAGGACCAAACTAATTGGTATAATGTATTTCGTTAAGCTGAAAAGCTTTTGAGCAACTAGTATGAATTCAGGACTATCACCACATGGATTTATGATGATCGTCAAAATTTATCGACAGCCAATTGATGATTTCCCAGAAAGAATATGTTTTTGCAGGTGAGTGTCGTACTTAATCATTGCCTGAAGCTCTGATTGACAATCATCGTTGGAGATTGTCTCTGCAAGATCTAGCTCAGCGGTAGTTGCAGCATTAAATGCAGCAGCAAAGCATGTCAGAGGAGATAGGTCTTGAATTGTATCTCAGAAATCTCTTTTGCAGAATTTAAGAAAATTTTCAATCTCATCATGATCCTCTTGACAAACTCATTTGATTGCCGCAAGTGTATTCTTATTGAGTTCAAAACCACTGCTAGTATCAGCATCTATATAATTATTATTAGTGAATGCAACAGTTTGCTTCGAGCGCAATTGATTGTCATCGACCCTACCTTTCTCTTGGACATCTGAGTTGATGTTCATATATTCATTTTCTTCAATGGAGATATTATTTGGTGTATCGTCTGAAGCAATTGAAGTAGTGTTATTTTTTTCATTGACAGCAGTGGACACATTTTCCAGCATGATAACAGTTGCATTTGTGTGACTTTAACCGGAGACCAAGTTGTTTGATTCATGGCAACAAACAATTGATTTCCAAAAAAGTGGGTTTTCATCAACGCAACAGCCAGAAACGACAAGAACAGGGCATTAAAGATGAATGTGCACTCTGTCGGGCATTCTACTAATGTTGTTCCATCGATAACACCGGAGACAAATCCATCACCAATTCTTGCTTGCCCGATGTGGCTGGAAGTCGTCGCATTTCAAGCGCATCCACGAACCTTGAACATGGCGGCAGTTGATTTTCTTTTAAAAAACTACTGAATTGGAGTCGTCCGCCGAGCACCTTGTTTGGTAGTAATCGAGCTAATCATTTGGACTGGACTCATCTGAAGTTCATTCCTTAGTTATTCACAAGCATTCCCTTTCATTAATTATTTCATGGCTCTTGTTGGGTTTGTTCTGCGCCAACCTTCAGCGACCACATTTTTATTATTGATCAAATGCTGACATTCGGTATTTGATTCCTTCAGGGTGGCAAAATCCTTTAAACAGTTTTATTGCGAACTCGCTATCATCTTATGTATAATAAACTGTCCTATATAGTAATCGTTGAGCAGATTTAGTAAATCATACCAAGCAGGCATCAGCAAATTATTCCGTACTGTTTGGAACTACAATAGAGTGGCTTGAGTAGTCATCAATAATGGTGTGAAATTGGAACTCTCATCAGCTGCATCAACGGTTATTAGCACTGCAGTACCAACTTGAAGATGTCTAAAAGCTGCGGACGCCCCTCTTCTACCCGACTAATCAATAGTTGTGATCCGTCTTCTGTTGATACAATACTTCCATCTTGACTCACCAGTAGCTGAAATCAGATTGTTATTGGCGAGATCACTTGTAGCAGTTTCTCTATTGTTTGCTTAACGTTTTTCTCAATTGGTTGTACTGAACTCAAATGGAGATGGCGCTTCCAGACATTCATAAATCGATGAACCATTTCATTTAGCAGTAACGCACGAATCAAGTAAGCTCATTAATGTTTGAATGAAAACCAGGCCTCTTTATACTTGGCAGCTGTGTTTCGCTTTAAATTGGCTCCATGCAGAGCATAAACAACATTTTCTAACCAGCCGCCGCTCAAAAGCATCATCACCAACATAACGTTCCAGATCGGTGCCATCAGCAAATGCCCTTTTGGGAGGGGCTGTAAGTTGAGTAAGAGCCCTTTGAGGGTAGGAGGTGTAGGAATTAGAAGAAGCGCAGAAATTTGCGGCAGCTCGATCACCTGCGCGGACCTTTGATATATATTGCAAAACAATTGATTGAAATGTATATCGTAATCGGTGTTATTGGATAATATTCTACGCCACGTGCAAAAATGAGTGACCGGATCATAATAATTGGAACCTCAGAATCTATAGAAAGTTAAACCAATGTCTAGTTACGT